TATACAGGTTGGACCTCCCTGGTCCAGTGCCCTCAGTACCTGACCTGTCCCAAAGGAGGGAGTTTGCTGCAGCAGGGGAGGTTAATTCTGGCCCCTCTCTGGCGGACTTTGGACTCTCTGGCTTTGTCAGTAAACCCAGCTGGGCTTCCCTCCTGACCCCCGGTTGTGCAGCCAGGTTTCCTGCCTCTGGGACACAAGTCTCCTGTTCATGGGCGCTGCCAGATTCTGCAGCCAGCTCTGTCACTGCCACTGAGCTCCACTGCCCTGGACCTCCTGCCGCTGCTGCTGGATTCAGCAACCAGCCCTGTAACACTGGGCTTGGCTGCCCTGGAGCTGCCACCAGGCTCCGCAGCCCCTGGATATTGCCGTTGCTGCGCTTGGTTGCCCTGGCACACTGCTAGGCTCCACGGCCAACCCCGAGATGTTGAACTTGGCTGCCCTCTGCCCTGGGTATGCTGCCAAGCTCTACTGCTCCAGGCCTGCCACTGGGGTCCACAGCACTAGGGCTACAACCGGGCTGCACAGCCATCCCTGGCATGTGGCTCCATGGCCAGAGTCAGAACACGGGGCTCGGCTGCTCTGAGGCACTGCTAGGCTTCACTGCCTCGTATGCAGCTTCATGGTGAGCCCCAGGGCCACTGCTGGGCTCTGCAGCCAGGCCTGGGATCTGCTAGACTTCTAGCTCCCTGGCCAGCTCCAACCCCCAGGCTTCATGATGCCAGCACACTGGTCCAGGGGCTCTCTGATCCAGAAACATCTGTGGTCCTTTAGCACCCCAGAGTTTCATAGTTCGGCCTCACTATGAAGAGAGGTATCTATCTGCAAAATCAAGACCCAAGTCAGATTTAACAAACCCAGCATTAGAAGATGTGTGGATGTGGGGCTGTGATTTGGTTTTGAAACCATGTTTTCAGAAGCATGAATCTCCTTTTCTGATACAATCAGAGATGCAGTCAGTTAACTGTGATTATTACCCATTTGATTTTAATCTTTTCCTAACAAGAGTTGTTCCAGCTTTTGAAAGTAAAACTGCACGAGCCAATATCATTGCACTGGTGACATATCAAGATCCTGAAAATGCTCTCATAAATCATACATCATTAAGTCCACTCACAACCCATGGCAATTAATCTCAGCTCACGCTGTACTTTGGGCCTGATTTTCCAGGGTGCTGATCACTTGCAAGTCCCTGTTGATCTTAGATGGAGTAAGGAGCACTCAGTATTTCTGACCATCAGGGTGCTCTTATGTGGATTTAGATGTCTGCCATTTAAGACACCTAAGGCTGAGCATTTTTGCCTTAGTTGATTATATTGGGATGGTCACATTTTTGTGCCATTTCTTTTCCATTCAAAACCCCTGCTTCTAGGTGAAGCAGATGCTTGTTCAGTGATTTAGGTTGAGCTGATCCCAGCCAGCCCAAAAGATGTCTTGTCTTTAACAATGCTGTTGATGGGTCTCAGTCCAACTCTCAGCTAACTAGCCTCATAGTGAAGTCCCTGTAGGGATGAGGCATATTGGCAAAGCAGTGTGGGGGAAGCTGGCTCTGCTACCTGCCAGTCTGTATCTCCCTGTGGATGGAGGACTTTAACCTTCTGGGCTGTCAGTTCTGCCCCTTTCATATAACATAAAAACAAAGATTAAGAAAAATAGTTTCCCCTGCTTTTGTTCCAGCCTCTCTCCCTCATTCCAGACCCTGTTACACTGAAGCTGTAAACCACCCTTAGGCAATGAGTGCAGTGTAATGCCTGGCTAGATCAGGGAGAATGGAAGAAATGATTTAAGGTTCCAGGGCTAATAGAATGTGTTTTGTTTTTCAGATCGACTGAAGTATGAGTCAAAAAAATCCAAGTCGACCAGTGTTGCTGTCAGTAACGATTTCAGCTTTTCTGCTGTACAACCAGGTAATTCATAAGTCATGCATGGGCATATGATTGCACAGATCTCCTGGCAGATACGCTCATATTTCTAAAGCTTCTGCTGTTGCATTGTCTGCAGAGGGCCAGGTTTAAAATAGAGGTGTGTTCTAGCCCAAATTAGCCAGTATGGGTTAAAATACCAGGAAAGGCATACCAGCATGTATAGCAGTTCAAGTCGAGCCCCAGGCTGCTTTATCAGTTTTAAGCCAAGTTACTAATCCAAGTTGAAAGCTTAGCTGCCATATCATCACGGCTCTTTTAACCAGAGTGAAGAACACATCGGTTTTTGCAGTGGACACATTACCTTGTGATATGAATGGCAGAGGGTAAAGGTTCCCTAAACTGTGCAATAGCACAGCCCCCCAGCTGATTAGGGCTGCCACACATGGAGCTGCCTGGCTAGGGGAGGGGCACTTCTCCCTCAGCTACAACAGCAGCTCTGTCCTCTAAGCTGCGCGGTAGCATGGCCCTGCAGCTGCTTCATGAGCCCCGCGCAGCTTAGAGGGAACTTGCAGAGAGTGAAAACCTTCCTTTTGGTGGCTATTGACACCAAGCCCTTTCTCTGCTCCAGAATTCCTTAGGTTTGGGGCTGGGAAGGAATTCTCCACCTGGGAGGTATTGGCAGGGATGTAGGGGAGACTTCTGATGATGGTGAAAATAGTGTGGTGTGAGTAGAAGTTACTGGGGAGATTTTCAGAGGCACAAAGGGCAGTGGGACAGCCAGTGTGAATTGAGACACTCATTTTTGTCTTTGCATGGAAACTCTCCCCATTAAGTTTCCTATCCCACATCAGAGAATTTCTCTGTTTTCTCTCAGTTGCCATAGCTGCTGGGAATGGGCAAAATGATCCAGAAAAGAGTGGTGCACCTTTGCTAGCCCTGCCTACATTACATTGTATTATTAATACCTGCTTGTCACAGTCCCTCGGCTCTCTCAAAGCTTAGATTCCAGTCAGCTTTCAGTAAGATGACAGTAAGATGCAGCTTTCTACTCTGCTCTCTCTTCTGTCCTAGGCCTAGTGCTCAGCACATGCCTCAAGGTTTGACTAATGAAATCCTGAAGCCATCATTGTTCTACACTGGCCATGGACTAAAAGAATCATCATCCTGCCCCGATCCTAACCCTTTTCTCTCTTGCCGCACATGGCTATGCAAATTTTACTTGGGGATGGAGGTAAAATGAAGAGAACTTTGATATCCCAAGTATAACAAAATCTGCCCTTTTCTAGGCCAGAAGCCAGGGATCCTGCCTTGCAGGCATACCAGCTATCTGAGTAATCCTGATTAACCTTAAGGCCTGAACATAACAGCTGCTCCAAAGGACAGAATTAGCGTTGGTGTCTGTCACTATCTTCATGTTTAACGACAGAGCAGGATGCGGCAAATGGAGCTATTCATCGAGGCTTGACATGCCGATTTTGGCTAAGGTTATGGAATTTCAATTGTGCCCAGATTTGATAATGGGAGCGGGAAGCACAAGGATACGATTAACAAGGAGCTGTGACTCACCCAGATCAGCTGCCTGCACTAGTACAGCTGAGACGTCTAAACTTTCTCCCTTTTTAATTAACTGTCTGTGTCATCCGTGGTAATGCAAATGATCTCGAAGCATGATCTAATAACCAACTGAGAAATAAAATTAGCAGATGGGGTGATCTGGGGTCACATTCGCTCACATAAGCAAAGAGGATTTTTGTTCAGCAGAGCGCGATTTTTAAAAAAAAATTTTAAACCAAGAACAGACATTGATGGATGGGGCCTGCTTCTGCAGGGCCTTGCACTTCATTTAGTCACTTGCATCCTTTGTGCCCAGTGGTGAAAGCTGCCGGGTTAGAGTAGAAGTACTTACAGCTGCTTTGCATTCATTCTGCACAGATAAAAACGCTGTGGAGCCCTGGAAATGCAAGGCCACAAGCAAGCTGTGATCCCCCATTGCGCCATTGAAATAAACAGAGACACAGCTGTAATTCTTATCTGTAGCTCTTTTAAAGTGTGTGTGTGGGGGACTTTACTGGAAGCAGCTGAACGTGGAGGGTCACTTCTCACTTCCATCCCAAGAGGCCTAGGCAGCACTGTACCTGCTGACCTGCACACTCTCTCTCCTCCTATCTTCCCTCCAAAATCCAGGCCTGTCTGCATCCCACCTGGCTTGTCTCTCAGAAACAGAGCCTTAGGAACTGCTCTTAATTTTTCGCTGGTCTCCATCTTTCATGTGTGCACTTGTCTTACACTGTCTTATTTAGCCCGTGACAGAGATGCGTGGCAACTGCTTTGAGGCAGGGCTGCTGTTTCCCTGGAGCTGGAATTGGGTCAATGGTGATAGTGTGGCTTAGATTCTCTGCACGCCCCACTCCACCCTCACAGATCCCTACTGACCAGCTTCTTTGCATTTCAGGTGACGTGGCCCCTGTAACCAGCGAGGCCAGCAGTGCTGTGTCTGAAGATGCCTTATTTAGGGACAAACTGAAACACATGGGAAAATGTGAGTTTGTTTCCAGGTTCCATAATGGCAGAGGGAAGGCTGCGCGGGAGCAGGCAGGCAGGCAGAGGAGGAGAAGCAGTAAGGATTCTTTAGCACTGAGTCTAGTGCTAAGGAGTTTTTCTGCCAAAGCGCTCTGCATGCGTGTGTGTATGTGTGCACGGGTGTGCGAGCCAGCACTTGGGTATGCACAGATCTGCAAAGATATGAGATTCTTACCTCCCGTTCAAGCCTCAGAAGTTATTCATATTTATCAAGCCACCCTGTGATTAACTGGGCAAGGCACATTTAGCTGGGAGTGTAGCTTTTGATTAGAAGGGGCTTTAATGCATTGTGTACTAAGCCGGACGAGAATGAACTGGGAGTATCAAGTAGGGAAATCCAAATTGCGCTAATCCATCTCCAAAGCCTGCAGCAGACTGGGGTTTGATTTCCATGCGCCTGCTGTAATCCTGGAGATCTGTGTCCTTGGCCCCGTGCACCCATCCATGTGTTCCTTCTGCTTTTGGTGCAGCCCTGATCAGAGATGGACCAGGCTCCCCTGTGCCAGTCGTGTCAAAGTAATGACAGAGCTTGGTTTCGCCATGGGTGCTGGGCAGGAGATGCATGTCTGACTCCTTGTCTCCTGCTCCCTATCCAGTGAATGCCTCAGCAGTGCTGTTGCTGAGCTTCAAAGGAAGCCCCCAGCCACCATCCCAGCCATGATAGGGTCATTGCCCTGTTTGTCTCCCAGGCTTCCATCAGTGCGTGCGGCCCTGTGCCGGTAATGCCCTTTGCAGCCCGAGTGGCCAAACATATGCCTTTTGTGGACTCGTTCCTTCCACAATGCCAACAGGAAGGGCCTTAATAAGAAAAGCAAAATATCAAGAAGTTCCTTCCTCTGAGCTTCTCAGCATGTTGTTAATATTTGCCTTCCTGTTGTTCCTGGGAGATCAGGGCCAAAGCAGACCCCATTGTGCTAAATGCTGTACAAACACAGAACAAAGGAACAGTCCTTGCCCCCAAAAGCATCCACTCTAGCTGTGCCCTCCATGTCTTTCTCTCCTAAGCCCCTTGGGGCAGGGACTGTCATGTCCAGCACTGAGGACTTTATCTGCGCTTAGTCCCATCTGTGTAGGCTGGGGTGAAAGTGGGGATGATATATCTCCAACAAGCGAGTGAGCTAATATAGTGAAGCGTGGGGGAGGAGAGAGAAAAGGAAGCCCAGCTCTAGGTTCCATTGCTCATGAAGAGGGTTCCCATAATTGGGGAGGGGGTGTGTAGCACTGCTCCCTAAATGAGTCTGTTCTTCAAGTGGAGGTGATCTCCTTTTCTTCCCACCCCACCCTAGAAGATGCCAGATGTGACTTGGATAGATTTTCTCTACCACTTACAGGCATATCACTTAGGAGTCTCCTCTGGTAGAAACGGGATGGAAATGGGTTTTGCCATATGTAGGTGCTGACGCTGGCTAAATTGCTCATGCTGCTCTGACGTTCGATTTGCCATCCTCATTTACGCTGCAAGCTTGTATGTATGACTGTCTTCAGTGTGTTGTTGTAGGGCACGACTATGTGACGGATTGGATGGGGCTTCTTGGGAATAGATACAAATCCTCCCTCTGTTTAAACCCTAAAATAGAAGTTAGAGGAGAAGTTAGTAGAGACTTTTCCCACTTTTGTTCTTTCTTCCCGGCAAGCCACAGGCTTCTCTCCTTTTGCAAAATAAATTGGGCACCTCACATAGTTTGACTGATTCATGAGCTGCAGTTTATTTTAGCTTCACTTAGTATTGGGGTGTGAGGGGAGAGAGAATTTGGTATAGTTATATCATGGAAATTACAATAAAAATGTCTGACTACACTAAAGGTCTGACTGTTCAACTGAATCCTTCCTTCAGGGATCAAATGATATTCTTCTTGATTACGAGAACTAATTCCAGTGCATGGAAAAGTGTTGCGGGCCTTGGTTTGGTAAGGCTAATCAGTAAGGCACTGGGCTTTCAAGCAGGCAAATTTATCTTGGTTCAGTCATCTGCTGTCCTGCAGCATGCAGAGTGATTCAGACCCCATCATCCCAAATGGATGTCATGGGAACTTGACATCTCTCATACTTGTTATTTACTATCAACTTTTGATGGCTGGGTCTGAGCAAGCCATTCACCAGCCTGTTTCTTTTCAGCTACACGCAAGAAGCTGTTTGAACTTGCAAGGGCTTTTTCGGAAAAGACCAAGATGAAGAAGTCAAAAAGAAAACACTTACTGAAGCATCAAGTGTATCCTTCCAACATGTGATGTTGTCCTCCCCTGGTCACACTGAGCTTCCTAGAGATGGGTCCCATCTGCCATGACTTGGAAGAAAGCTATGCTGCAGAGGGCTAGGACCAAGCTATGCCGGTGTTCTCCATCTTGGGGTCATTGGGAAGATATAGGGAACACAACCTGACCATCCCATATTTCTGTATTGGAGGGGTGGGGGTTACAGGATGGGTGGGAGAAGGATCCTGGAGGGAGTGTCCTGGTATGGGGAAAAGGCTTTTTCACATAGAAAAGGTGAAGAATCACTGGTTTATGCACCACTTACATCTCACTTACACCCTGAAACTAGGGCAAAGATTTGTGCATGTGGGAGGGAGCTATAGCTCAGGGAGAAAAGGATGTAAGTAACCAAAAGGCACATGTTTGCAACCCTCATGAGTCAAGCTACAGCCACAGAGAACATTCATGGCTCAGCGAGTGTGCGAGTGTGGATCCAGCTCTGAACTTCCCTGAAGTGATGTGTTTGCAGCTGGGATTCCACTTTGAGTGTAGCGTAGATGTTCCATTTGTTGTGGAAGCTCCCCTGGATCTGTGTTCTATGAAGAGTTTCCTCAGTGGAAACTTTATCAGCTGTGTGCTAACTAGTTGTCATGCCAGTCCTAAGCCACCACTCACTACCGACAATGCAAGAGAAATCGTGCTGGTGACTCACCTGTCCACTCTTCCTCCCCTTCTTTTCCACTTTTGCTGGCACATGGATAGAGACCTAGAGTAAAAGGGTTTTCTTATCCCCAGACTCACTGAAGTATGTTGCCTTGGTACCCCAGTGACCCTGGCATCGTGGCCTCCCTGTACTATTATGACCCAGATCTCATGCCAGAGAGCAGCAGAATGGAAATGGAAACAGACCTAGGAACCACCCCCAACTCTATGGGCTGCTCACAAGCCTGTGGCTTACACTCGAAGACCTTTTCCTTAATGGAGCATGCAGGATGGGAACAGCGGCTTCCACAGCTAATCTTCTCGATGACGTTGAAGGACACTCGTGCGGTAAGATGATGCTTGTTTCTGCTAATGGGTGAGTCGCCAGCTGGAGGCTCCGGTATGTGACCCCAAAGAGCAGGGGAATGCACATCAAAAATCAAGATTCCTGCCTTGCAGATTCCTTCTCACCCATTACACTAGATGTTCAGAACCTGTTCCCTGACTCGCCTTTTCCTAACGCAAAGCAAGTAGCAGGCCTGGACCACTTCTGTGGCTAATGTAGATTAAAACAGGCATGGGGCTGCTCTCTCTGCACCCGGAACAGCAAGGGGAAACTCTCCCCAAGCCAGGGGCAGGAGCCACACTCCTCCCATCTCACCTCATTTCAGACCCTGTACTGTGCAACGGACACTTCTCCACCCATTTGTTAGCTCCTCAAGGTTTGGGTTGAGCAGGCTCTTCTTCTCGGTCCCCTTTCCCCATGTGTTCTGGCTCTCCAGGCCTCTGCTTTCTGTTAGTTCAGCTCTTTATTGAATGACAGGATCACCAAGTAAAAGGAAGTGAAGCCTCCTTCCCCAAGGGCCAGGAACACCCTCGGTAAGCTTGGGCGGGTAGTATTCGCTGTGGCTTTGCAACAGGGATACAGAGATCTAACAGAAATGTAACCCAGTGGTGAACGGTAGTTGATTGACAGCCTGAAACCTGGAGTCCTCATTTTGTCTACAGGAGAGCATGAAAGCAGTAACCCCTTACCCTGACACAGGACAAGCACTGCAGTGGGTGTAAGGACGGCACAGAGTCCATAGCCCATTCAGACCAAGACCCATCTGCTGAGGCAGCCAACCAAGGTGGCAGCTGCCCAGGAAATAGGCTGATACCCACCTACTCGTTTCACATAGGGCATTGAACTGCCATCCATCAGTACTGCTGCTTTGTTCACTGCTAGCCTGGGGCGGGTTTAAACCAACTGGCACCCATATCCTTCTGCAATTCTCAGGCCCTTCCAGTCCCCTGAGACTGCGGCAGCTTTGCCACCTATCTTGTTTAGATACAGGAAGGGATCTCCTGACGTTTGACCACACAGGTCTTTCTAATGCCTTTCAGATGAGGATTTCCAAGCAAGAAGACAGCAACTACATGAGGAAGAGGAGATACCGAAAGAAGGACAATAAATGGTAAGAAGTGTTGTAGGATAATGTGTGGTTAGTTACAAGCCCATCCCTCCGCCGCTTTCTCCAGGAGCTGAGTGGTGTAGATTAGACACTGGGGCCAATGGACAAAGTGCCAGCCTAAGAAAATGCAAAGATCCCTTGCATGCTGTCATGGTGAAAACAAATGGCTTGAGCTTATGGCAACCTCTCTGGTCCTCCAGTCATGTGTTCAGGCACAGAGTTGAAACAGAGGGTATTGTCTTGGCATCAGCTGTTCTTCCCTGGCTTTTGCAGGATGGATTACTTCTCTTGTTCAGCTACAGCTGATAGCACTGACCCCATAACATCCTTGATAACAACACTGGGTGAAATTCACAATGCCAATGTGTGAGTTCTTTGTGTTACGTGTTAAGGATCTCGGTAGGTCTTCATGCATAAAGCCTTGCACATGGGGCTTGCACATGGGGCTTGCATTGGGGTGAGTGTCACCCACGAGGACTTAATTCTGCCATTGCTGTACGTAATGTCTGCCGTTCCAGGTCCTTTTTTTAGCTGCTGTATGGATAGCAACAGGTACTTTAGCCTTTGAACTAAAGGATGCAAGAGAAACAGCCTGGCCAAATCTTCCCTGTTCTTTGTCCTTCATGGAAAACGTATCTGGGTGGACACAGCATGCGGATGCTGATTAAAACCATGCAGAGGCTTCAGTATTCATGCCTGCCTGTTCTGTGTATCAAGTTCATTGATTCCTTATGGCTTGGTTTAAAAACATCCAGTGCACACTGACAGACTTTGTTTCAGCAGCCATGCATGAAGCAGCTTTGACTGAATACATTCTTCCTCTCCTCCTCCCCATCCTTCTCTTTTAGATCCCAGATCCATTACCTGAACTGGACTTTATTTGTGAAAGTCTTAAGGAGAAGATGGCTGCAAAGAAAAAACAATTTCCTTGGCTCCCCATGCTGGCATCCTTTCTGAAGTACAAGTATTAAAGTGAGGCACAATGTTTTCCTCCCAGCGGGTTTGAAAACACCTCTTTCCTATCCAGCCAAAAATCAGCAGCTGATCTGAATTTTTCTCAGTCACTGCAATGAAGATAATGGATTTCAAGCTTTTGAGAATAATGGCCAATCCCCCGTCTCTTTGATATAAACTCGGTTTGGATATGAATTAATAACAATAATACGTTGAAAAGCTGGGCCTTGGCTTGCCCATTTTTAAACATATCACTGTAGCAATCTGATGTAACTTTATGCGCACAGAAAAGACCTGAAAATGTTGTTGTTTGTTTGTTGTTGTTACTAAGGGGTAATCAGCCAGGATCTAAATCATGTAATAAACAGGGTGATATCAATTGTCTTTTTAAAAAAGAAAAGACTTTCTTCTGCCAGGCATTCTCACATTGAATTAAACCTTTGCCTCAGGCATTGATAAAAATGCCTTGAACTAGATACTGAGCTGGGGCTAATTTCTCCTTCCATATACCACTTTCTCCAGTTTTGTGCTGCTGCTCTTGTGATATTATAATTTACAGAGCAGGAATAGTGGGGGAGAGGGCTGAATTTCAAAGCTGTTTAGTTCTTACTGCTGATCTCTGAACCTTTCCCACGGGTTCTCATTTGGATTGTGGTATTGTTCATGACAATTGGCTGCTCTCTAGGTAGCAGGCAATTAGTTTTGGCCATCTAGAAACACTTGCCAGATTAGATGGAAGGGAACTGTAGATGGGGCCTTGGTTCACCTCTGAGCTCATACGAATGAGTCTCACAGTTGACTTCCTTCAGGATCAGAATGTGGCCTTAAGTTGAAACACAAGTGGGTTTTCTCTAGAGGGACATATGAGCATAGGCCTGATAGCAGGTCTCATAACATGAAGTGAAGGAGAGGTTGGTTCAGAGCTCACTGGTTAATGTGAGGATGACATCCTTCCTCCAGGAGAGAGCTTGGAATCAGGTGGCACATTGTACCTTAAAAGAACACTCTCAGTCTAAAAAAAATCAAATAAAAAATTCTTTCCCTGTGCTGCTACCAGTAGTGTCAATTACTAAATCTGAAATTACGCCCCCTATCAAGTTTTCTTTTCTGTATCAGTACTGTCGGTTTTATTCTCAGCTTGGGCCGTGAAAATAGACTTGTCCAACTGACTTTGTGGGTCCCATGCAGTAGCATGAACACTACAGTGTTTGAGTTGCAAAAGCAGCAGGAAGACATACTGATCCAAGCAATCTGTGCAACAAAACCCTGTTTTCGTTGCCTTTCTATTAGGCTTTGCAACAAAAGCCCACATTGCAGGCTTAACCTCCATGACAGGCTCCTTTCAAGATCTGCTGGAGGATCTGTCTGCCTTTGAAGCGTGTGCCAAGACAGATTCCTTTTAAAAGTTGCTGAGCGTGAGGCTCTTGTTCCGTGCACCTGGCGTTCAGTCAAGCTACTCATGCTCAATGGAAACACAAAGGCAGGGCCTGAGGAATTTAAGACACTGTTCAGAACTAGTAAGGATGAGCAAAAGTAGATTTAGGCACACACACACTGCTTCCTTTCTGTGCAGAAAGACATTGACGCTATGTGGAATGGAGTTTCAGGAGACACCTGATGAAAGGTTCAGTGTTGTGTCTATTGCTGAAGTGGCATGTTCTGGCAGAGTGTGTTTTGGACACTACATTAACACCTTGACTGTGTGATACAGTGCCCACAACCTCCCACTCAGAACATGAACTGCTAAAAACACCAAACAGTACAGTGGGGAAGTGCATGCCGGCTTGTATCAGGTTGTGGACTCCAGTGATTCCCTGGGATCCCAGCAACTTTTCAGGTTCTCAAATGCTAAAGATCCCAATTCCCTGAGGTGAAGCCTGCTTTTGGTGTCTGTTCCTTTAAAAAAGTAAATAAAAAGGAGAGGAGCATCAGTGAGTCTTTTGGTAAAACCTGAAAGACAAGGGAAATTTGTCTGCTCCAGGGACTAGAACAGTTACAAGTGAGGTCATTCTTGCTCAGACAAGCATTCAGTGGCTTGGAAGCGGCCACAGCAAAGAAGATATAAGGCTCCTGGTATGTGCTTTTGAGTCTGTTCAGTGAAAGGAAGTGACTAAAGGCCTGATTTTGGGAGCTGCCAGACACCCACTGGCCTCTTTAAAGTCAGTGGGTACTGCACTGCTCAGCACTGTTCAGAGTAAGGCCCTGTGTGTATGATATGTATGTACATATTGGTTGCTAAGGGTAAAGCTGGAGCACTACCACTGAAAACAGAAGAGCTTTTGGAGCTGGAAGGACTTTTATCCCCCGCCTTAGAATTGGAAGGTCTGTTTCTCTGCCACCTCCCTTTTCCTATCCTCAGTTGGCTCCTACTTTAATAAATGCTTGGCTATTTCTCTCTCTCCTAAAGAGGCTCTGCATGTTTGGAAGAAAATCAAGCTTGGAATCAGATCAGCTTGTAAAAGTTCCAACTCCTCTTGGCTACTGAGGGCTTAACTTTGAGCTAAGTTTCCATGAATGCAAAAAGGCACCAACAGCCGATCACACAGAAGCTCAGACTCTTGTTGGTAGGAAACTGTGCTGTCTGTCCCCACAAAAAATTCATTTTTATAGGACATTCTGGTCTCCAGGAAATTCTTGGTGGATTGGGGGGTGGAAAGGAAGGGAAAAATACAAATGCACATGTCCCTCAGGTCACATGTGTTGATGTTAGCAGCTGCCCTGCTGTTAAATTAGTGCTAGCTTATTGCGATCTTTTACCCTGATAAAGTATATCTTCATCTCTCTCTATAAATTGGGTTGTATTACAATACGGCCTTTTGAAGTCATACTAACCAACATTCCCTCTAATCTTTTCCATCCATGTGCGGATATTTTCCATCCACATACGGAATACATTTGTATTGTGCACTGAGGCATTTGTGAATGTGCACTGCCAGTAGAAATAAAACCTAGCTGTGGGTGCTCTGCTAATCAGTTGGGATGCATTTGAATCCCTCCTGAGCAGCCACACAAGTGCACAGCTTACAGGGAATACTGATGCTAACGTACAAGGTGTTAACAGTCACTATAGACTAGGGATGTATGCGAGTAGTTGACTACCTGATAAGCCTAAGCCTGCCCGCCTGGCTCTTACTACATATAAACTGCAGAGCAGCAGCAGGGATGTAGCTCCCGGAGACTTCCTCCCTTATTGACTAATTGTGTAGTCGATAGAAATTTTATCGACTACACGATTAGCTATTTACTCGCTTCGTAACATCCCTATTATAGACAAGGACAGGATGTGCTTAATATTTCATCATCTAGTCACGAAGGTTAACCACAGTCCGCTGATTTGGTGCTTTGTACAATTTGTCCCTCTCTGAGTTGACCTCTAAGACAAATAGCATAGTTCCCCAGGGTCATCATCTTAATATAACCTCAGGCTATAGCTATACTTAAAAGCCTAATGCAGCACAGCTGGAGATGGATCCAGAGGTGGCTCATTGCCTCATTGTTCTATTAGGGCTGATCTGGAGATGTACTGAATCCATCTGTGAGGTGCTGGCCCGTTCTACTCCAATGATTCTCAATCTGTGGTTGGGCCTGCGGACTGTATTGAAGGGGTCCGCAAAAGATTTAGACTGGAAACTGAACAGAATTCAGCAAAATAGAGACAAGAGATGTCTGAAGGGGTCCACACCTCCTCTAGAAATTGTATAGGGGTCTGCAAATGAAAAGAGGTTGCAAAGCACTATTCTACTCTCTTCAAAGTCACTTAGAGGTTCAGTGCTCAGTGCTTCCCAGGATAGAGCCCATACTGAGGTGTGACTTTCCAGTGACCTACATTGAGGCATATAAAAAACCAGGCCTAATAAAGAGTATTTGTTGGGTTTTAGAGAGACAGCATTGCAGTGAACGAGAGGAGATTAATATTGTTACATCACTTCCTTGAACTGCATTTGATATGCTGATGGGTTCATGTCTTTCTGGCTTTTAGAGTAGGATCCACAGGTGTGGTGTTAGTACGTGGTAGCTAACAAGTGCAAGCTATGAATTATCTAGTGTAGACAACACAATGTAAACATTAACATTTATAGCTTAGCAAGTGTGAACAGAATATTCTTGCTTGTCTATGCAGGATTTTTAAACTGTCTACACTGCATGCTTATTTCGAAATACTACACAGCAAGCCCACTATTTTGAAATAATTTTGAAATAACAGGCTTCTTATTCTGACTTCCGTAACCCTCATTTCACAAGGAGTAAGGGAAGTTGAAGGGAGAGTGTTCTCCCTTTGACTTTCTGCTATGTAGACAGCGCCAAAAGCCGAGTTAAGCTACTTCGACTTCAGCAGCACAATTAACGTAGTTGAAGTTGTATAGCTTAACTGGACTTTAGCCTGTAGTGTAGACATGCCCTTAGGATGTGTTAGCTAATATGTTCTAACAATGTACCTTTTAGATTCTACTCCAGTCTTTCCATTTCCAAATGTCCTGAGGGCGCCAAATACCATTGTAAGGAAGGAGGAAGGGAGTCCCCCCCCCCCCCTTTTAAAAATTCAGGTCTAACGAGTGGAAAGGCCACAAAGACAGCCTTGAAAGCCGAAATGCATTTCTTCTATCAAAATGTACAATACTCAGTGACGTTTGTATCGCTTCTGTACAAAATGGTTTAAAAACCAAAAACGACTTCTGTGACGTTCGTGAGTGTTGCTATTTTAGAACTTATTTCTATAAGTATTTTTTCTTAAAGATGTTTAATAGTAATTCATATAATAAAGTCATGTCGTACTCTTAATGCCTTGGTTTTCTTTGCTTTTGATTTTTTTTAAATCTCAGTTCTAGGCATTGCCTTGAGTGGCTCATCTGTTACAGAATGACAAGCTCTTAAATTGAGGGCTTGATATCGCCTTGCTTGTGCTGACCGAGTAGTGCATAGTCCAGTAGGTGGCTCCAAAGAAATACTGATTTCAACTACAATTGCTCAGCAAATGACACCTTTTTTCCAATTGATATTTTTAAACTATGTTTCCCGTGATGAACCGTTTTCCCCTGTTGAAGTTTAGAAGCAGGGCATCGTGGCCATCTCTGGCTGTGGGAGATGTAATTTGTCTGGGAATCCTGACCTAAAGAAAAGGGGTAAGAAGTGACAACACTAAAACTCTCAAGAAGCGCTAAGGAGCATGTCCAAATTGAAAATTTTCAGTTTTTATTGAAAAATTGAATATCTGATAAAAATTCCATTTTCTGCAGAAACCAGATGTTTTTCATGTAAAACTTTGTTTCAGTGGTTTTCCTTCTGTTTACTATTGTGGGCTACCTATCAGTTGTGGACAGCATCATAAACATTTATACTGTCTATATGATCCTGAGGCTGTCACGTGGGCATGGCTCTGTTCTGATTGGGACTTAGGCTGAGAACCACTGCTTTATTTTATTGAAAATCCAAATTGCTTTTAAAAAGGCTGAGATGGAAAATTTCTCAGTGGGTCCTAAACTGAATGTCTGGTCAGCTAATGGGGAATGGGAGGTGATAAAATCACCTCTCTGTGCCATTCTATCTCCGTAGCATTATACAAGCACTCAGGGAACCAGCCAAAGCCCAAATGTGGGAAGCAAGGAAAGCTTTTCCAAAAAATTTGATCTGTCATAAGCAGCTCTTCATGCTCTTCCTTCCCCCAGAAAAACTCAGAATGCTTTGCTGTTTGACCTTGCAGGAATAGCATATTGGAGCAGGGAGAGCTAATGTTAGCTGTGGTGGCCGTGGATTTGCCATGACTCAAGAACACTTTTTGTGAAGAAGCTTGGATCATGGGGTCAAGAAGAAAATTTTAAAACTTTATATTGAGGGGAAAAGAGATTGAAGTATTCGGAGTCCAACAAGTGTGGCCTGTGGACCCAATTGCCCACTGCCAATTCCTGCAATATACCTGTCTCCATCTTTGGTATTGAGGGGAGCAGCTGGCAGTGACTGCAGGATCAAGAGGA